TACAGGTATGCTGGAATGATCATTATCTTAACCGCACACACTTAGGTGGAACGATAAGTTAATGGCCTCATTTACTTCCATTAAATCGCGTTTAAGAGCAACTGATTCCATGTACCTGCATACCAAGCACTATTTAATGAAGTTTACCATGTGAACACAAACTTAGGTCGACTTCGGCAGCTTCATTTATTATTGGCTAGTTTTGGCAGATATTTTTGTATAATGACCACAAAACTGTATAATATAGTTCCAAACAACTAACTGTACGTTTTCTCTCTCGTATCTCTCTGGTCTCTTCTCACATTTTTCCAACATTATAAATAATTTAAACTCAAATAAATCATACTTTGCGTCTATTTATTTATTTATTTGGTAAGTACTCAGGAAATAGATCATATAAATCAATATTAAGTCCTGACAGGGGGATCTGGATCTCGTACTGTATTTGGAAAACAAAAAATTCAAAAGCAGTCCTTCATTTCCTTACTGTTTCACAACCCTGGACCGATCAGAACCCACAACTGTCCCACTACAATCTATGACCACCGCAGCCACATCTTTTTTGTCTTAGTGTGGTCAAAAAGCCACTTCCTACAAACACACTCAAGCTTTTTCAAACCAAGTGTGAAGCAAACAGTTCCACAGAATGTAATGTCTTTTTTTTTTGTTTTCAGCGAGGCATTTAAATGACTTTAACAGCTCTGCTTTCTGAGCGCAGTTCAGTTTTCCTGCCTTTAAAAGTACCACAAATCTGTGGCTGTTTCTTATCATGTAATTGCAGCACTTTAGCTTCATCTACGTGCCTGTTTTGGCATTTTGTCCCGTGTAGAATTTTTCTTATCTTCACTCAAACAGTGGCAAGAAACTTTTGCCGTTATCTTAGGCTAAAAAAAGCAAAGTTTCTGTGAGCTCATTCAGATGGACTAGTAACAGGTAGCTCTATGTACAGCTCTCACTTACCATCATCTGATAAAAGAATAATCACTAATTTATTGTTACAGGCCCTATTTTGCTACAGGTTACAAAGGAACAGATCATGGTATCGGTCACAAACTGCTAAACAAAAAAAATTTGTTTATATATACATACATATATATATACATACATATATTTATGCAAAAAAATAAGAAATCAGGAAGGGGGCCAACACTTTTTCACACCACTTGTATATATGAATGTAAATCTTAACAGTTCTAAAAATAAATGAGAAATGTGTAAATAAATAAATATTATTATTTATATAGTATTTATATAGCATTTATAATTTACAATTTTATTTGTAGGTTTTTATACATTTCTATAGGTTATTTTTAGAACTGTTAATATTTACATTGTGAAATTATTTTCATGATAATCAAGGACATTAATTCTCATTACTGTAATGTATTTTTATAATTGTCATTATCAGATATTATTAATTTTTCTCATAATTAATTTATGGTTAATTCTCATAATTAAAATTACTATTTAAATTACTATTTGAATTATTTGCCGAATCGTTGTAAGTCATTCTATTGTAGTTTTATGTGAAATATGACCTGGCCATGTTCTTGACAGGTTTTGTGAAATTCACCCATATATAATTCAGTCTTCAAACACCACATATTACACGAAGCTATGCAGCATATGCAGGTTACAGTGTGCTGCTTTTCATATCTGCGCTGCCTACATTTACACACGTCATAAAATATATCTCTCAAATCTAGCCCGGTGAATAACGGCGCTGCATCTGTCCAGTGTCTGCAGTGATTTAAATAACCTCTCTCGGCAGGAGTGCCTGCTCATGGCCAGCGGGTCAAGCTGCCGCACTTGGGAGG